GACTGCTAGCTCTAGACTATTAACCTACTGATTTTTACCATTAAAGAAAAAAAAGTGGGGGCTACTTTTTTTTTTTGGTTTTTAATTTTTTTTTAATACTTGCAGAGTGGTGTTAGCTATGAGATTAATGGTGCTAGCTGGTGCCAGGTCTAAACTACCTCGGACCAACTTTTCATGAGAATTAAATAATGTCGGGGGGCTAGCGTTAATTTGAACCCCCCCGAAAGTAAAAGGCTTTTATTTCAATAATTAGGTGGTGCTAGCTTTTTGATTGGTAGTGCTAGCTGGTGCTAGGTTAGAACAACGAGGTGCTAGCTTTTGAGTAAAATTCATTAACTTGATGGTGCCAAGTTAACGGACTCCCGACAGAGCGCGTCCTTTTAAACCCCTCATAATTCCTTACGAACAGGGTTTTTAATTCTTGGAATATGCTTCCGATCGAGGTCATTCAGAGTCAATCCCTACAAGTTTTTAAAAAAAGATACGATCACTATCGAGCCCAAACAACGCAGTAATGCACTAGTAGATTTAGAACCCGCTCACCAGCGCGGGCATAACAGGCCTCGGCCTCTGCCCGGTCGCTCAACTTAATAATAATAATAATAATCCGACAATAAAATTTTGTGAGAGTGTCCACCCTTTAATCTGCAAGTCACAACGCTAAATAAGAGGCAATTACAGACATACTTATCATGTGTTTAGTGAACATGAAAACTGTGATATTTATTTCTGTTAGAAGAAAGATGTAAATGAAAAAAATTATGTCGTCACGTTCAGAATTAGCGCCTTATTCGCTAAAATTTTAAGTTTGGTTACATATTTGGTTACACATAGTAAAAGTTTAATTTGAGATGTGATCAATAATTTCGTGGAATGTTTTAATTCCATGGTAGCCAAAAAGATCAGTGGAAAAAGAATAAATTATTTCCATCGTCGAGATTACCAAGCTAGATGTGAATGAGCAGCCATTAGTTATAACACAAAAGGGTAAACTTCTATCTCGAAATCAAGAAATAAAAAATAGTCCCTCAATTTTTACCACATTTACAGAAAACAAACGAGAACGGAAACTTCAATTAGCCCACGAGAAAAGAATAAACATATTAAGTTTTAGAAAAAAATATTACAAAACTGATGACGGTTCTTTGGAGTATGGGCCCAACTCAATTACTGAAAGTGAGAGAAATGTTATACTGGAAAAAACTGTTGACCAAATTATTTGGCTAGAGTGGAATGAAATTAGGTGCAAAAGAATCGATTCTTCAATTTTTGGTAAAATATGTAACATGTTGCCCTATACTAGTTGTGAAAAAACTGTTAGTTCGATGTTATATAATACGCGGCAAATAAATACTCCAGCTATTATGCTGGGTAAAGATCACGAAACCGATGCCATTACAGCCTTAGAAGAAGAATTACGTAGGTATAAAAGTTAGTCGATGCGGTCTACTTGTATATTTAGAAAATCCATTTTTATGCACAACACCTGCCGGTAATAATCGTCTCGATCAAAAATCTCATGTCTAGAATGTGGAAAAATGTCACTTTTCCTATCTTATTCACTGTCTATGCTGTGATGAAAAAATATGCATAGAAACAGATCCAGAAAATATTTGAGTTTGGAATAGAACCACACATTTTTTTTTTTCAGGAAATAGTCTGCAAAATATCCAATTCTTTGCACATTCGCGCAATCGAGAAAATTAAAATTGTCGACAATTTGACATGCACTTGGAATATTACTATTGAAAATTTTTACAATTTTTGATATGTCAAAAATGTCGATTTTTGTTGATGTGTACCGTCTCTTTTGCATTAGGTAAACATTGGAATTTTATCAAACTATTACAAATACAAGACAATCATAACTTTTTAGATTCCAAATGAAATAGTATTTAATTAAACACGACCATGGGCGAGAGAAATATTAACAAAAAGTTTTATTAAGTACTAGTACTAGCGTTCCCGGAGGAATTAATTAAAATCAAGTTGAGTAAACTTAAATCAACCACCTCACCTGGACTAGATGGGATTACTCCGACAGTTCTTAATAAATGTGCTGAGACCGTGTGTATACCTTTGAAGATTTTAATGACACAATCTTTTCAAAACAGTCAACTTCCTGAAGATTGGAAATTGGCCATTGTAAAGCCGATCTTTAAAAAAGGCGATAAATTTCAAGCTGTGAACTACAGACCGATTAGTCTCACTGCGGTCATAGCCAAAATCATGGAATCTATTATTTCCGATGAGATAAGAAAGTTTCCGCTTGCGAACAACGTTCTTCCTGCCGAACAGCACGGGTTTGTCCCAAAAAAGTCTGTGTCCACTAATCTTCTTTGTGCCGTATCAGATTGGACCAAAAATTTCGACCGTGGTGTTGCTACCGACGTTGTGTATTTTGAATTTTGTAAAGCCTTTGACAAAGTTCCAATAACAAATCTTCTGTTAAAACTTCGACACTATGGCATTACAGGACTGTTACTAGAATGGATAAAAGGATTCTTAACTAATCGAAGTTTCAGAGTTAAAGTCGGTGCATCACTGAGTGATCTGACAGCTGTGGAAAGTGGAGTGCCGCAGGGTTCGGTGCTGGGTCCGTTGTTATTTATAACGTATATTGCTGATTTAAAAACAGAAATCCAGTCACGGTGTTTGTTCTACGCTGATGACTTAAAAATTTACAATGACACTCCCACGAATTGCAGTATTTTGAGTAAAGATATTTTAATAGTGAATCAGTGGTCCAAGGAGTGGCTCCTCCCAATAAATAAGCAGAAATGTTCAGTGCTACATATAGGACCGAATAACAGCAAATATGTCTACTCACTGGATGGAGTATTATTAACCAGAACTAATTCCCAATTAAATAGTAAACTCAGAACTGACATGGAGTGATCGCATCGTGAGCGTCATTAAAAAAGCAAATTCTCTTGGGTATTTACTACAAAGATCTTTTATAAAACCAAGTGTAAGCACCACGTTAAAGCTGTATAAAAATTTTGTAAGACCAGTACTGGAGTTCGCAAATAACGTTTGGTGGCCTGTGCTCATTGGAGATCAAAATCGTTTGGAGTCAGTACAACAAAGAATGACTCGTCTTCCCTATGGTAATGACCCTTTCCGACCATCTTATTCTGAGCGTCTTATCATAATGTCGCTACCCACATTGAAGGACAGAAGAATTCGAGGGGGTGTAATTTTCACCTTCAAATCGTTGAGGCTCGAGGATCCATTAATGCAGGATTTATTTACCTTATGTACATATTCCAGAACTAGAGGTCATTGCTTCAAACTGAAAAACGAGAATTTTCGTACAACTGTAAGACAGCATTTCGTAAGAAACAGAGTGTTTGACACTTGGAACAAGTTGCCGGAGGAAGTCGTCCAGAGTCCTAATGTTAATGTTTTTAAATCTAGATTTGACAGTTTATAGATTGTTCACATATTGTTATAATTGTACAGTTCCGTGGGCATAACAGGGCTTGCCCTCTGCCCTTTATCTTTTATTAATAATAATAAAAATAATAATTAATAATAAACCGTGTTAGAAGTAGAAAAATAATTTTCGAGTTTTTTTTGTACAGGTTTTGTAAAAAAATCTTTCATTTGCTCAAGCCTATTTCTCAAACATTTTTTTTTTTTGGAAGTTCCTAACATTTCTTATAAACACACTAGTTGTAAACATCACTAATTACGTAAGACCCACTTCTGTGCATTAATTGCTAGCAATGGGAACAGTGAGTAACGGTAGTGGGTAAAACCAGCAGTTTTCGTTCGTAGAATTTGTATACGCAAAAATAACTTATGTTTGTTAATTATCTCACCGCTGCAATCCCTCAGTTGAAGTAAGGTGTGTTTTACGGCGAGTAGCGGGGACGCTTTGATCTGGTCCACAAGGTCGCAGCCAGTGCGTTGCTAGGAGTGTTTACAGCTAATAAAAAAAAACTACTTCTATATTACTATATTACTTCAAATAATAATACTCGATGCCCTTTTTAGTTTTTCAACCACAGGACCACAGATTTGTGATCTTGAAATGTTATATTATGTTGAAATAGTCCAAAAGAAAAATATATTTGTAATCAAACTATCGCCGCGACAGCACTGGTTCTAGCGTATGAGATACAATTCCGCGCGTTGGTTATTACTAGACCATTTCCTAATTAAAGTAATCAAGTCAGCTTATTCCAACTGTTTTGAGTGATGCCTTACTCTTCCAACGACATGTACAACTTGTTAGTGACATGTTGTACCAGTCCTTTATATAACAGAATTGTCGAGTTTTAAAATTTTTTTCTAAGAGTCAATAAAATGTATGCTATAATATAATTAGTGGGTTGTTACTAGAAAATTTTATAACTAGCAGTAATTTGAGTAAATGTTCATTTCGTGCAGTACTTATGTATTTTGTCAAAGTTTTACTATTAAAATTAAATTTAATTATGGTTATCTAAAAGTAAATTAGTCTGATGAATAAGCCTAAATGCTACAGCAACATAACATCACTAATTTAAATCCCTAAGAGAGGATTTTTTTTTGTAAATTTGGGGTTGCTTTTTCTCATTGGTTTCAATTGCCAGAATGGGGTATGTAAGTATGTCTTATTCTGTAGGTATACAAGACTTCATCCATTGCTTTTCAATTAGTTTTCATGAGTACTGAAATATATTAAATAAATGGATCGCTAGCTCTTAGATTATTATTAGAGTTTTCTTTAGTTATATTCAATGAACTCAACCTTGGAACATCAGTAGAACCTGTTCTTTTACTTGTTTACGCAGCATGTGAACGACCACTTCTACGGAATTATAGTCCGGCCAAGGAGGTTTCGTTCTTAAAAAAAGATAATTTATAATTTACTAGCTTTTGCCCGCGGCTTCGCACGCATTAAATTCGGAGTAAAACAATTCCCCTTTCCCTATACCGTGAAGATAATTGACAAAAAATTGTTATTGTGGGTTATCCATAAGAGATAGACATATATCATCGCGGAGTTTTCTGTAGACCTTTTCAAGGTGTACAATACTTAGTACATTATTTTGATAAATCTCGTAGGGTTCAGCCTGCGTTTGCAATGTAAGCGGAAAAAATGTAATTATTTACATCACATTAGAAACCTCAAAAATAACAGTATTTCTCTACTATATAATGGATGTTATTATACATATAAACCTTCCTCTTGAATCACTCTATCTATTAAAAAAACCGCATCAACATCTGTTGCGTAGTTTTAAAGATCTAAGCATACATAGGGACAGACAGAGGAAAGCGACTTTGTTTTATAGTATGTAGTGATGTTTGGTTTTCTCCGTAGGCATGTGTTTCTTGAGTGGGGAAAAACGGCAACTATATATATGGTAACACGATTTTAAGAACTTTCAAATTACTAAACACGAATCACAAAAATAACATAACATGTATACACCAATAATATTTTTTCTACTGTTATGTAAAACAGTATATTCTATTCCAACTGACAGCAGCAGTTTAGTGGTGTCAACTACGGAACCTGCAAAAGAAAAACCTGCAGAATTTTCAAATGTAAGTATTAAGTAGAAATATTAACAATAATTCAGAAATTATGTTGAAATTTGTATAGGACCTTCAAGTTAGTCCTCAAATATATTCTATGCAAATTATCGCTAATGTGAGTAACCGTTTTGCAAGAACACTTATCACTAGTAGAGTACGAAATTTGAAGAAACAAGCACAACAAACCACTTTTTCAGTCATTCTTCCCGAAAATGCGTTTATTTCGGAATTTGAGATGGAAATCGATGAAAAAGTATACAAAGCTTACGTCAAAGAAAAAGGAGAAGCTAAAAAGATATACGAACAGGTAAAAAAATGTTGTTTTATTATTTATGTAATATTATCATAACATAGCGAATTAATTAAAATATCTTTAACAGAACGAATTATTTAGGAAGGGGGATATGTTCTAGAAAAATCTTAAAAGTGTTAATTTTTGCATTTATTATTTCTTAAAAAATTGTTATCTTTAGTTTGAGGTAAACATAATAATTCTTATTATATTAACTCATTGGCTTTTGATAAATCTTAAATTCTAATAAAATTACAATAAATAAAAACAAACATATTTTGCAGAGATCGTACATTATCTGCATAATATTAACGTGGCTGGCAAAACAAGTCGACACAAATTTAAATATAGAAAAAAAGATAAATATAATTCGATCACATTTGTTCCATTACATAAAGAAAAACATTTGCTGATCGACAATAACGCATAAAATTATTTTTCTGGAAATGTATCGAAATAATGTTATAATATCATTTTCTACTTCGAGTTCATAACCGAATGTTAAAGGCCCCAAATTGAGTGTTTTAAGAGAACTGGTATAATTTATTTTTTCAAGATTAAAAAATGATATTTTTAATAAAAATTAAATTTTACCATGATATGTACCTACACATTAATCGTACCATTGGATGTGTTTTGGGCACTTAGATAAGTGCCAGGTATTGATTGTCACAATATTTTGCTGAAAATTACTTTCACTGCTTCCCTAACTGTACCTGTGGAGCTCTGGAGCACCCGGACAAGTTTAGATTTAGACACTGCTGGGCTCCGGGTGCTCTTTTGGGTCATTTCCCGTTTTTTTTGTGTTAATAATAATTTATTATTGTGAAAATTTAACCTTCATTTGTTACAGTCTGACATTTGTCGTAGCAACTATAACAATATTCCCCAAAATAAATAAAAAAACAATTTTTATATTAAAATGGAAAAAAAAGGTGTGGAGTAGAAAAATAATTATAAAATACACGTTCCATAAGATATTTTACAGGACTCATCCCTTAGAATTTTGGGCTTTGTATTCTAAAATAACGTCGTATGAAACTTGTTTTTTTAACATGCTGTTATTGTTAAGATGTCTATTTAACATTAACTCATTAGAGTTTCTTGATAGGCCGTAATGAGTGGACAAAGTGCAGCCCACGTTGAACTGAGTGCAAGAGATTCCAAAACATTTACAGTCTCAGTAAATATAGAACCCGAAAGTAAAACAATATTTAGACTGCTCTATGAAGAACTTCTTGAACGACAAGTAGGACAATACGAACTCGTTATTAACATTCATCCAGGACAAATTGTTAAGGATCTGGGAGTTCAGGTATTAACAGAAACATGTGAAAATAAATGTTGATTAAATTAATTCAAGGTTAATATCGATGAGAGCAGACCGTTAACTTTTGTAAAAACACCATCTTTAAGAACAGGAAATGAAATAAGCAAAAATGATGACAAACTAGACCCATCTGCAAACATATATTTTACTGATAAATATTCTGCCGTCGTGCAATTTAATCCAGACATAAATCGACAAAAACAGTTTGCTGAAAATCTTGGGGGTAATACAGAAAATGGATTGGCTGGTCAGTTTGTAGTTCAGTACGACGTAGAAAGGGATCCTCAAGGAGGCGAGGTATAAGAATTGTTAATTCAATGGATTGCTGAATTTATGTGAGTTTAAAATAAAACAAGATTTTTTTCTTAGGTTTTAGTGAAAGATGGATATTTTGTGCATTTTTTCGCTCCTTCTGAATTGGAACCTCTGCCCAAGCATATCGTGTTTGTTTTGGATCACAGTGGCAGTATGAGTGGAAGGAAATTGGATCAGCTCATTGAAGCCATGCAAAATATTTTATCGGAACTTAACGCTAAAGACTTATTCAATATCGTCAGATTCTATGACGATGCTTCAGTTTGGGATCCTGTAGAAAATAAATTTAAGACAGTTGAATTAAGTTCACCAAAATATGGAGAACTTGAACCATTCCTGAGAGTAAGTAAAAAACTATTATTTTTAAAAATATGAAATCTTTGAGTTACATTACTGTATTTTAGGAAGCCAATTTACCTCAACCAGCAGAAGCTACTGAGGAGAACATTAAAAAAGCAAAAGATATTGTGACCGACAAGTCATTATTAGGTAACACTAACATAATTGCGGGTTTAGAAGTAGGTGTATTTTTAACCAAAAGGACCCAGGAAAATAAATCGAAAAAATACGAGCCCATGATTATATTTTTAACGGATGGTTTACCAAATGTGGGAATCGGTTCTACAGATGAAATTACTAACATAGTAAGTAAAAAATACAACTATATTTAAAGCACTGAAAGCGAGCTATTTTAGGTGACAAAACTTAACACAGGTGAAAAACGTGCAGCAATTTTTTCCCTTTCATTTGGTCTCGGCGCTGAAAAAACCTTTTTAAAAAAATTATCTTCAAAAAATCTGGGATTTTCTAGACACATATACGAAGCAGCAGATGCTTCTTTACAATTACAAGATTTTTACCGTTTGATTTCATCACCTTTAATGAGTAATATTACCTTTAAATATGTAGATGGAGCTTCAGAAGTCACAAAAACCCATTACCCAATTCTTTTCAAAGGTTCAGAAATAGTCGTGGCAGGCCGAACTGGTTTGTTTCAGTAAAATGCTCAGTAATTTTTGTGTATATGTAGTTTTCTTTACAGGATCAAACGTAGATTTTCTGCCTCGTGTTATAGGAATTTGTACTATTGGACCTGTCATTTTTAATACTACTCGTACTGAACCGGTTACTTCTTTAGAAAGACTTTGGGCATATTTAACTGTATCGCAGATGTTAACACAAAGGGAAACCGCAGAAAATAAAACAGAATTGACGAAGAAGGCACTTGATTTAGCCTTAAAATATTCATTTGTAACGGACGTTACTTCTCTGGTCGTGGTTAAACCTAATCAAACTGATTCAGTCGACGCTGAAGTGGTAGCACCAACACCAGGTACTTATTAACTATTCACTTTAAATAATGCGTCAAATATTACTGATGCTATTTTACATAAACCTCGCCGCAGACGGCCTTGAGTTAATTAACCGTATTGCTGGCGTCCGACGTAAGTAACTCATTTTCTTGTGGTGATAGACTATGAAAAATTTGGTATGTTCTTAAGAGCCTTTTTTGCGAGTTTTCTTTCAAAACTGTTGCGTTTTAAATGGGCAACTGAAAATATATACTTTTACCATAATTATGAAAGAAAGTCACTAGTTTAAACCAAACTAGAAACATTAGTGTAATGTGCATGTACTGTTTATTCAAAAATTAAAAAAGCATCACCTGTTGAATTAAGTTGGTATCAAATAAAACTCCTCTAGAGCTTATTTTTATATTGGCAAATTGATCGTGCAAAAAACTTCAAATTTGAAATTTCATGACAAAAATGTTAAAATAAAATAACAAAAAACAACGTGTTTTGAATGAAAATCATAATCATCCGGACCTCAATTTTTTTAACAGCACAAAAAATCTCCCTAGACAATGTTGTCGGTTGAGTTTTCGTACTATGTTGCCGGTTAAGTCGTTTTTTAATTTTTGAACAGATAATATGTATATTTTTATTGTTTTTATTTTTCCACAAATGGCAAACATCAGGTTTTCGCATGAAATTACAAAAGATCAGTAAAGACGTCTTCATTTTAGTTAAAAATACTAAATTGTAATACTTTTATATTATATTATTATTGTTTATAAACTAACAAATATTTTCGTTTAATGACTTTAGAATTCAGACGGTTTTATGTGTGTTTTCATATAAGTTTTTTACGACATTTGGCATTTTTTTTCTTTACGAGTAAATGCATTTGACAGTTTATGTGTTTAGTTATTTTATTAATTATTTAATTCTTTGCAGCTTCAATAGCTGGTGGAGCTCAGTTTTCTTCAGGACAGCATGTTTTGTTTGGTAAGTACATTTTAACTTTAATAGAGCGCCTAGTAAACTAAATCTCGTCTGTAATAAATAATCGCTGACAGGTGTGCACAGATTATAAGTTTAAGTTCATGAAAAGAAATATTGGTTAGTAGCGTTTTATTATGTATACCATATTTCACACCTGTACACCCAACAATAATTAGTCCAGTAGTGTTCGAGACTATACCTATATCTAATATTTAAAACTAAAAGACGACTGATAAGTAGACGCAGACAAAAGACTAACATTTTCGTATTTTACAGGCTGTCAAAATACCTCATTTAGCTTACGCTAGCGAAGTATCAGTATGATCGAAAAAAGTCATCTAGTAGGACATGATAATTATTTTTAAAATCGTGATGTTGGCATTGTTTTAATCGTAAATGTCCAAATGAGCAAGGAACGCGTTGGTGTTGCCAACACCATTATTTTAAAAATAAATTTCGTGGCCTACTAGAGCAGTTTTTTTAGATCCTATGATCTAAATTCAGTGTATTTCCAAAATTTCAAGAAGATTACAGATTCATCTCAATTTTTACAGTAATACTTTAATTAATGCATTAGTTTCTTTGGAGTATTTTCTGTATCATAGCGTAGTTTTAAAAAAGATGTAACGTTTTGGAAATTAATAATAAAAAAAATATCTGAACTTTTATATTGTACTGTAATCTCGGAGCCAGTATTTTACCAAAGTTTCTAAGGATTTCTTTGATATTAATTATTTATGAAGTCTATTTTAAAACCGCATTAGGTAACCTCTTATCCAAAACTGTTGATTGTTGACTGAAATCTTTTTCTAGTACAAGGCAGCAAGTTCACATATAAATATGTATACACAAACATTAACAGATAAGTTTCAAAAATTTGTATAATCTAACTTTATAATATTTTATCACACGTGATCACAACTTTTTGAACTTGTAATATTGAATTTTTACGTTCCGGGTGTAAACTGGCATTGTTGTCCATCTTCTGTCCCTGTTCACCATGTGTTGAAAATTTTATTAAACAAATAATTCCTAAAAATAAAGATTTGACTGTTATGCAATTTTAGATCTATTTTAAGAATGCCATTTAGATGGAGAAATACTAACCAAATTTGTTTCATCCTCTACATCAAATATTTGATAACTTCATTTAAAAATTTTGCTAAGTAAATCCCGTTTATAATACGCAAATGCCTGTCTGTTTGCCGTCTGTTCGGATTTTTATTAGATAGATAATCTCGGAAACTGGAGCGATTGTTGTCAAATTTTATATGTGTACTAGCTGACCCGGCCACGCGTTGCTGTGGCTAAAGTTTGTGTTATATTACATTATAGTAAACAATCTAAGAGGAACAATAAGAGAACATCAGTCACGGAGTCCACTATGCTTTTTCACACAGATGGTATTTGTAAAAAAATATGGTGATCTCCTTATTTGACTTTCTACTACTATAACCCTTTAGTACAATGAAATTATTTACGAACAAAGACGAAAATGTTGATGTTGGTATACAAATTCACTGGATTGAGATTTGAAGGGGAAGTACGTTGAACACAATATTTCGTTCACTACAAAATAAATTTAATTAATTTTATAGCGTCAACAACACGTGGTAATTATGCTGTTAAAATGTAGCTTATATGACACCTTCGTAGATTTACCATAGCAGCGCCATCTATTGATTACTTACTCAACCCAGTCGAAAGGTATCGACATCTGTTAGAATCATTTGGAGTTAACAGATAATTGTGACTGTCAAATAATAACAGACACGTTCACTACAAAATAAATTTAATTAATTTTATAGCGTCAACAACACGTGGTAATTATGCTGTTAAAATGTAGCTTATATGACACGTTCGTAGATTTACCATAGCAGCGCCATCTATTGATTACTTACTCAACCCAGTCGAAAGGTATCGACATCTGTTAGAATCATTTGGAGTTAACAGATAATTGTGACTGTCAAATAATAGCAGACAAATAATTAGCAATAAATTAAAATTGCGACTGTAATTTGAGATTTAAACTATCCTATCTCTCAAGTTGGATCGAACTGCACATGGTGTGCGAATTTTATTATAATCGGTTAAAGTGGTTTAGGAGTCCATTGAGGACAAACATTGTGACACGAGATTTATATATATTAAGATTAGTAATATCGCGTAGATGTTAAACTCTAGCCAAAATTTGGCTAATTCTCCCCATCAACAATGAGATGACGTTATCTCCAAAATTTGCAAGGGTAAATGTTATTTAAATTTTATAAATTAAGATAAGCATATGAATCCGTGTTTAGTTTTTACCCGAGACATCCAGATTTTTGGCAAAAATATCGACATTGTATAACAATTGCAAAACCGAATGCTCTGAAATCTCACAAACACTTATCGTAAGCATGGTAAATCGTTAATCAAAATTTTTTCTTTTATGCCCCTGCAAAAAGGTGATGACGTCATTTTACAATTTTGAAGAATAAATGTTATTTAAATTTTATAGAATTATATACTCTTGCATGTGTCATTTATGAATCCGTGTCGAGTTTTCCCCAGACATCCAGATTTTTGGAGAAAAAATCAATATCATGCAGGGTGCTTCAGAGTACTACTGCATGATTTTAATGGCGAATTACGAATGCTGTGAAATCTAACAAATGTTTTAAGGAGGTATGCTAAATCGTCTTCTTACAATTTGCCGAATTTTCTTCAAATTTGAGTGTTTTTGGGAAAAAACTGAGCGTGGTTAATTAATTAATCAGTCCTCTCTTCTGCGTTGAGAAAATTTCATTTTCTTTTAACCGCTGATCTTGTTAATCTGCACATGCTAATAGTTGAATTCTTTCGAAGTGTAAACATAAACAGTTGAAGTTAAGCATGTATTGAGAAACTTTTCGCTTTGTTATCTGCGTTCAATATATTTCCTATTGTCCATGCTTGTATGGACCGTGTTTCATTGGAATTTGCACCTGCACAACACAGGGGTTGCGGGGGTGTTAATTACGCGACTACTTTTTGTTTTATAAGGGTTATCACAAAACGAAATTCGCAAAATCAAATTTTATAATTTTTTAAAGAAGCGTGATTGGTCGGACTCTACTTCAAGGGCTAGGGAAGTTAGGTCGAAATCACTTTCGACCAATTTTTACTTCCCAAGCGTAAGCTTTTATATTTTCTCGATGTCTCATGACCCCTAGATTACAAAAACATAGGTGTCCCGTTTCCGTCTGTTTGTCCGCCGTCTATGTACTACTGAACCGATTGTTGTCAATTTTATTTGTGTGTTATGAATAATATGTAAAATTTTGTTTAATCGTCCCCACCAACAATGTGATGACGTCACCTCAAAATTGTACGTAGTAAATGGGTTTTACATTGTATTAAATAACATAGCCTTACATGTGTAGTTTATGAATCCGTGTTGAGTTTTTACCGAGATTTGCAAATGTATAACAACATTTTGCATTTTAATTTTGAATCTGCAAATTCGAATGATTTGAAATTTTGCAGACGTTTTAATGTAGACGCAAGCACGGTAAATTTTCAATCAAAATACGTTTGTGTATCCTCTCCAAAAAACTAATGGCACCACCTCAAAATTTTGCGAATAAATCTTACCTAAAATGTACAAAATATGATGAATATATACAGGGTGTTTCTTTTATTTGATACAACCCCTGTAACTTTTTTATTCTTGAAGATAAACCCGTAGTTCTTTAACCAAATTTGTATCATTCTCAAAGATTTATATGATGGTAAGCACACATTTTTATTATCACTGGCGGTAGAACCGGAAATGACGTCAACTTATTTTTTTTTAATGGAACACTAGGTATATTTTTTCATAAATGGAAAGATTGATTTTTTCACTACAAAAAATCACAAGCAACCAATATTCTAAAATCAATAATAAAAAAGTTATTTAGTAAAATATCTCCAAAATTTTCCGTTTATTTCAAAATCTAGTTGCTTGAAAAACAATTGAAAAAATGTTCTCATCACTAGATCTTTTAAAATGATACAAATTTGCTCAAAGAACTACAGATTTATCTTTAAAAATTAAAAAATTACAGGGGTTGTATCAAATAAAAGAAACACCCGGTACTTGTGATTTATTATTCCATTAATATTTTTTAGAATTGCTAATACAGGCTGACTCAAAAAATTTAATGAATGAGCCAATTTATTTTATTTATTAAATCAGGAACTGCAAAACCGAATGCTTTGGAATCTTACAGATGTTTTAAAGTTATCGTAGCATAGTAAATTTTTAATTAAAATATATCTGTTTATACCCCTCCAAAAAATTGATGATGTCATCTCAAAATCTTGCCGAATAAATCCCATCGAAAATGTGCAAAACAAGAGGATATGTGGTTTATCATTACATTTGTATTTTTAGAATTGCTGACCCAAAAAAATTATTGAATGAGTTAGTTTATTTTATTTATTAAATCAGGAACGGCTCACTCCATTTTCCAGAAAATTTGGGAATACAATACTGTTATTATTGTTATTATACTGCACCTATCTAAACTGATATACATTTTGCAAAAGTGTTCATCATAAAGCTTTGTGAAGTCATCAACAAGGAAAAACTCATTTGAAATATACGTCTAGCACGCTTCTTTACATTTACTTTAACATTACATACATATATTTATTACAACTTATAGGGATTCTCATAAACAAATAAAATTGGTAAAATCAATTTGTATAATTTTTCGAAAAAGCTGGATATATTTTATTGTACTCTAGTGGGGAGGAAAATTCAGTTGAAATAATAGTACACCAATTGATTGTGTTTCAGAGGCGATGGAAGTTCTATCTGTAAAATTTTAGACCAATGTAATTCATAACCAAACAAGAATAACAAACGATTAAACATTAATTCCGAACTGGCGGCACAAAGGTTCTAGAGTTTTTTGTATCTCTTGAAATTTAAAATATTAATAAATAATAATTACAGTACAGCACATTTAAGGCGTAGAACGAATTTTTAAAGTTCGGTTCATATGCGTTGAAACCTTAAATCGTAATCAATAATTAAAATTTAACTTTTTGGCTAAATGTATGTGAATGTTTAGATCATCTTTGTTTTCAGATTATGCCCATCCGATTGCTCTTTCTGGTAAGTATAACATTTGAAATTATATTGTTTAGTTTGCATCTAGCATAATCTTCTCAATACGTGGATATTGTCGTAAAGACGTGAAGTAGATAGAACTGAGTGATGGAATATTGTTGCTACATATTTGTGCAATGAGTATCTAATGGCTTAAAAAAATAAACTTCGTGCAATGTAAATTTATATTGCTACTATAATATTATAAATTAACACTTTCTTTACCTCAAAGCTAATGACGTAGCCGCAGATTGACTCTTTAAGGATTGTACGCTTGATTTTGAGAATGCTTTGTTGAAACAACACCTACTAATACCATATATGTAATAAAATTCTCATTAAGATTTGTAATTTTTTGATTATGATTCGAAAAATGAAAATATGGAAGATTCCAAAAAAATAAAGTAGTTACAATAATTATTTTAGTTCTATATTACATATGCCAGAAAACTCGTGTTGTATCTCCCTAGTACTTTCCTTGTTTCCACTAAGTAATAAATTTACTAAGTTTTTTTGGTAGTTCACTTATTGCTAAATGCCAGATTTAATTTTAATTGTTCTATTCAGTTTCGGAGTATTAAAAACAATTTTAAAAACATGATAATTATTATCAATATATGTTGTAGAAAATTTACGCCACAATCGCAGTTTTGCCTACGTAACATTAAAGAATTAATTACATGTTTTGGAACCAAACAAATACCTATTGAGGAATCCACAAATATTTTTAAGTTTTTCCACAAATTACTTGAAATAGTTACAATTTATATTGTTTTTTTTTTTATATATGTTTTATAGAACCAATTGCTCCACCCCCAGCATTCTATCCATCTACTACCACTGTACTGTCAACATATGCAACGACAGAACAACGTAAGTATCTTCTGCACAGTTTATTGTCTATTTCTGATTTAAATATTACTTTAGCAAGCATTCCGCAATGGCTTCAGGATTTGAAAAATCATAATGAAAGTATCACAACACCTCAAGGTAATCTACTACTCCTATTAAACTGCTAACATAAAATTAATATTTGTAGCGTATATGTTTTTGCATTGTACTGTCGTACGACATGCATATATTTTATTTTTTATATTAAAGGTTTTTCACCACGAAACCGTAACGAAAATAGCAAACATTACATATAAATATAATTACTGATAAAACTTTTCATAAAAAATGCACGTTTGATAGGTATTCGGTTTTTTGTCATTTAGTATATAGTGGAAAAATGCATACTATCAGATTAACAGTAACTTGTTTGTTAATTTTAGGTTCATTTAAACTGGGTCGTGGTGGTGATGTAACAATTCGACCCAACTGTCCAAAAACTCCGAACAACAGTACTGGTGTATGTACAATTATTTACGATTGTCCTCAAGTGTTTTCATTGTTAACGGATGTCAACATTTATCTACAATATTTCTGTCCACTGAATGAGTAAGAAGAAATACCTACTGATTTTTTAAAAGAACCGTTTTTAAAGTAAATATTTTAGGTATGCCGGCGTGTGTTGTCCCGTCTAATAGCAATCAGCCTATAATCAGTTACTAGGTATGTATTTAAATTAAGAAATAAGTGCATATAACTAGTAGAACATGAATGTGAAAATTTTCAACGCAATTACAGTTGGACTCCGTTTGTAAAATGTAAAAAAAAGTATAAACAAATAAATTGTGGCAATTTTTATTTTTTTTCTTTTGATTTTAAATTTGTTATGTACAATGTTTAGATTAGTTACTTTTCTAGTGTAAGGGTACCTGTATAGATTAGTGCCTAATAGATGCATTCGCATTCGTGCTAGCGTGTGCAGCTCACTTAAGTGTATCTTTCCCTGCGATTAAAAAAATAGTTTAAAAAACCACCCCCTTCAGAAGTGTGCATGTTACGCTACTGACTGACAGTCCGTTGTTAGATTCTGATGGCTCACCATGTTGAACTTAAAATGATCCATCTCTACTTGTTTATAAATAACATACTCCTATTACTTAACTACTTACATGATTACGATTCTACAAAAACCGATACAACCGCAGCTCTAAGCGAGCATTTCTTCTTGAACTCTTCTCCAGCAGTGCTAGTATTTTCATTGTAAAAAGTATGAATAGAGCTTAATTGTAATTTTTTAATTATTACACACTTCTTTGGAGTGCAAAATCGGCCTTTTTCAAATAATTATTCGACATCATAATTCAACATAATAAAAAATATTGAGAAAAACAAAATAAAAAAAATCTTTCTGGCACTGCATCTACCAGTGTTTAAATTTGTGATAACGTGATAATGATAATTGATATTTTGATAACATGTAAACTCAGGACTACAGAAACCTATGCCAATGGAGTGATGTCCCTAAATTATTTTAAAGATTTTTGGACGTATGACAGAGCATACACCGTCATAATGAAAAATTAAATCTTGTCAAGCAGACAGCAAAGTTTCTTCTAACACGTTCAAATATTTTTCTATGTTGACCGTTCCATCAATTAAGTGTAGGTTTCATGCATACGTTTTGCAGATACTGAACTCTAGACCGTAAATAGTTCTGGAAACTTAACGAAGTTTTAAGTAATTTGGATGATATTTTTCGTTTTTATATCTAATTACCAGAGAACGGCGAAGCCGTTTTAATTCATAGCCGTGCACATAGTTTTCGCAGTGTGCTCAAGGTCTAGCGCTCGCCCGAGATTTTCCTCCGTAAAACGTGTTCTTTTGAGGGTTAATTTAGAAAATGAACGCTCCACGTCACAACTGGTTATGGAAGAGTAATTAAAAAATGCGAGCAAATTCTCAAATGAATTTTGTTCCAATGTTTGACCCTGTCATGCCGTCGCAAAATTGTGTTTAAACCGGGAGTGCTACTAAAAACAGATTTTACTTTCATTTTTAACTTTTCCCAAATTCACCTGGAAAACTGTTATATTGGGTCACAGTACTTTGAAGTTTTGATAAAGCGTCATGCAACTTTAAAGTTTCAGATTGTAAATAAACTATAGTTTTCGATTAATCTTGACAATTTTGTGCAATGTTAAATATTATATAAAAATAAAATAAAGTGCTGGTTCTATTAAAAATGAAATAAAAAAATCAAAATAATATTCGTAAAAATGAGAAGTAAACTAAAAAACCTCTACACAGACATATATAAATAAAAGAAACTAAAACGTTAAACACATTTTTCTTACTAATTTGCTGTTTTACAAATGAATACTGCGACACTTCCAAGCGCTTGATGTGCAAGGAGTACTCGACGCCTATGTACAGGTGCGTATTGCACCTGAAAAACAAGTGATAAGACTGCGATCCAAATGTAGTGTAGTCGGCCAACGAATTGATCGACACCGTGCCGCGCTGGTCATGTGTGGTGGTCTGCACAGTTCTTAAACCCACGGTCGCCGCTCTCTGCTATTTACTTTCTCTCTTGTATCACTCACAAAAATTTTATAAAGTTGCACTGGTCAGAGGTCCAATTCTTCTATTCTTTAGTCCAGTTGAATTTGTTTGTCTTTTACTTTGTTGTTTAATAGTGCTTATTGTTGTTAGTACTGTTTCTCTGTAGTCTTTACATTAAAATATTATGTTGAATTTTTTAAAATGTTCAAATAAGCAATCATTCATAAATAATACTTACTAAATGTTTTAAATACTAATTATTGAACTTTCTCATGACAAATATAAGTAGTACCACTTTTTCCAACTGCTTCACTCCATGAAACTGTCAGTTGCCCATAGTTAGCCCGTTAAATTTTCATGCATAATGCACTTTAATGATATTCTCTTGATATCTTTGCTTTTATTTTTGTAAATGTATCGGAGCTTTAAAGTTATGAGTCAGTTTGTTTTGTACAGTTGCATAACATTTCTAAAATTATATCTGATAAGAATAATCGTTTCGAGATTTCTGTATTGGATTTTCCAGATTTTTTGTTTATCGTGTCGCCTGTATTTATTTTGATAGCAGAATTATTTTTAATAATTTTTTTCACAACACCTGTTTGACATAATTTTGCATAACGATCCGAATAACCATGTAAATTCTGAAATAAAAGTAAAGACTATTTTGCAATTGCTTAAAATACAAAACATTGGTGAAGTTGTAGTTTCGTTCCTTATAAAGAAAATACCGTATACTTAAAAATATGATTGCTTAAGTAACAGTGAAAGAAAGGCAAATAAGTAATAGGAATTGAGACATTTTTAAGACCCCAATCAGTTTGTGTTTTTTGTAATTCGTCACGTTATAAGTAAATCTTTGCGTACCATTGCTATTCAGACATGTAATTAAAGTTTGAGTATAATAATTTGTACTTAAACTATTAAATTTATTAGAAAGTAAAGTAACAATATTTTAGTACTGGAACATTGATAAATTCGTTCAAACCAAACAAAATATCAATTATGCGATAGTTATATTTAATACAAACATGCAAATGTAAAAAATACACAATAATTATCACACATCATTATCTTTCTTAGAACAGATAGATAAGACATTCGTAAATGTTTTTCATAACTTTGAATTCACGATATTTTTAGGCTACTATGAAAAATGTCTACCTATATGTATTAATACCTGATAAAAAATCGTTGAAAAATGTATGCTTATTGTGATTGTACACAAAAATGTGAATCAGTGTATAGTGTTGGATATCCATGGATTTGATATACACAAATATTTTATATTCTTAAAATTGAGTAAAAGAAAGTAGCAAATATCTAAAGTATTAGTGGATCGGTAATTACAATCGACGAGGGTAAAACTCAACAACTTTATATCTTAATAACTCCAATTTATACGACTAACTATACAGCGATTATATACAGAATAATTCCGACTCGACTGGAATGGGTTTGACTAGACCTGTCCCATTATCTAGACCACACTAACTGTTCCCGACGCGCGGTCCTTCTCCAAGGTCTCTGTCAGCGCTTCTAGGCTTGATCTCGAACACCCTTCGCGACATCCGCTTCCAGGTTCTTCCCCGGCTGCTGTCACCGACAATGAGTCATCATCGCCGTACATACTAGAATCCATAGGTGTCGTACCGGGTGGCGTATGGGTTTGTTTCGTAGCAGTATCTTCGATTTTAAATGATGGGATGGTACATTTTTCCTTCTTATATTTAAAGAGAATTTATGAATTGCTAATATTTTTTGATCTCATTCACACCTTTTCCCTCAAGTTCAGAAACTTTTGTCTAAAAGTTGCAAGACTGTGAAATTTCTCGAACATTCATGTCAGGAATTTAAAACACACCTATTTTCATTCCGTAGTGAAATCTAGAAAAATACAAATAAACAAAAATTTAAAGAAAAGAAAAATAAAAGAAAAAATATCATCGACATGTCTACAACATACGATTCTGTGATAGCTACTGAATAGTGAGTTAGCCACCCTAGACATTATTATGATTAGATTGCGATAGATTGCGATTAGGATTAGTGTACGACTAGTGTGGACGTACAGTGCAAATTGCTCCCTGATTTTCAATTATTTTGCTTGATCTTCTGTGCTTTATTTTGACGTGAGTTATACGGACTTGAAGCTTTTTCTGAGTTACATTATTGGTCTACTTTATGACCTTTCTCTGTCACCGTGGGTGAAGTATTGTTTTATTAAACTTCAATCAACGTTAACCTTCTATCTATCCACGTACCTTATCGCGTTTTTTGTGAATCGGCATTCTTTTATCAGCAGCATATTTTTGGGTGTTTAACCTTTGTTTATTCATTTTTACCTACCCGTGACCCTCTTATTTGTCAAAGTAAGCCACGTTGAAAAGTCCCTAGGTGCAAAGTGTCCCAGTGTGTCCCTAGCATAGTTTTCCGTAATGATCTGCCCGAATTGTGACAACTCTGTTAAAACTAATGAAACTAGCTTCCAATGTGATGCCTGTCGGAAACCTTTACACGCTAAATGTATAGGATTATCTGAAATCGATGTGAAAATGACCAGGTCTAAGTCAAAATCGATCAAGCTTATATGTAATTCTTACGAAAAAAATTTAAATGCACTCAGCGATTTAAAATCTCTCATTTTTGACATTCGTGCTGAATTTACCTCTTCGCTTGACGATCTAAAAACCACCTTCTAGCAACAAATAAACGATTTAAAATCGATGATAAACAATCACCACCAACCTAATCCTGCTCAGCCCAATTTTGAAGACGTGGTACAAGAGGTTGTTGAGAGACAATAACGAAGTAAAAACGTCATGATTTACAATGTTCCCCAGCAGCCTGAAACAATGTTTCGTGATGGGCGTTTAATGTCTGAGACGAGTGACATCTCTAACATCCTGCAAGTAGCTAGTAATGATGTGAATACCGCTAATATTCGTTTACAGAGATTAGGTAAATTTATTCCTGGTCGCTATCGCCCAATTAAGGTCTTCCTTCAGTCTGAAGTGGAGGTATTACATATAGTTAGAGGCAAAAAAAAAATCTCAGCACCAGAGATCTTATTTTATAAAAACGTTCGGTTATCTTTCGACAAAACACCTAAACAATTCGAAAACTTGAATCTACTAAAATCTCAAATTCTTGAAAAAATCAACAATGGTGAAACGGGACTGACGATTCGGCATCTCAATGGTGTTCCTCGCATAAGACTATAGGCAGGGCAGATGACTACATTAATTGTCGCAAAGAATGTGGGGCAAATTATCACCTAGCATGCGTTAACTTAAATAAATTAGCGGTAGCATCTTTGAAAGAAACAGGCTTGTTACAAACATGGGGTTGTGGTTTCTGTAGCCCCTTTTCTCTTAAAAATCCGGGTGATGTTTCATGCCCATCATTGATTGATAGTGAGGCATTACAAAAACTTCCAGACTTTTTAAAAGAAGTATTTACAGAATTTTCCCGCGTAGTTTCCGAGAGTTTTAATAAACTTAACCAGCAAGTTGCTGATTTAAAGCACGAAAATTACTTATTACGTGAAGAAATTAGGACAGTAATCCAACAATATCCCAATCGTGATGCTCAAATTCCTAAAGAACCTGCGGTATCATATGCTGCTACACTTAAAAGTACTTCTGCTCTGGTAGTGAAACCAAAAAATGCTGCTCAAACAACCACACAAACGAAATCCGACCTTATTACAACTTTTAATCCGGAAAACACTGATGAACTTGGGATTGCAAGAGTGAAGTCTATTAGAAACGGTGGAGTGCTCTTAAATTGTCGAAATCCTGATGAACTAAAAAAGCTTGTACAAAATAAAAAACTTGATGAAAAATATGACATTCATGATGTTAAGACGCCTTTACCTCGTATTCGTATTTCGGGCATCTCTGATGATATAGGTGAAGAGATGATTGTTCCTTTTTTGTTAAAACAGAATAAACATATCTTTTCTGAAACTACTCAGTGCACTCTTCTGAAATATGCACCGATAAAAAATCGCCAGAAAACCTTTCAGGTAATTTTGCAAGTTGACATTTCATCCTACAAATATGCGTTAAATTTTGGTCATTGTTTAATTGGTTTGGATAGCTGTAACATTTATGACGCTGTGGATGTCATCCGGTGCTATAGGTGTAACGGCTTCAATCATTCTGTTAGGAACTGCAAGAAAAATGTCTCCTGTCCGAGATGCTCTGCTGTGCATGAATTAAAAGATTGCAAAGCTACAGAAGAACAACTACAATGCATTAACTGCTCTACCATTCAAGCAAGAGATAATCTGGGTATTGCAGAAATTTCCTATGCCTGCTGGGATTATGAGCATTGTATATTCTACAAAAACTTAATTAAAAAACTAAAAACTGATGTTTTCGGTTTATCAGAGTCGTAGCAACTAACTTTTACCACTGTCTCTAAGTCTGCTTCTAGTGAGACCTTAAACTCATCAATTAGTCAATCTCATAAAAATAATTCTGATCTCAATTTAATGTGTTATTATCAAAATGTGAGAGGCCTAAATACTAAGTTGAGCAATATCTTATTATACTCTCATACATTTTGTTATGATATCATTGCATTTACGGAGACATGGCTAAATGAGAGCGTAGCAGATGGAGAAATATTTAATGGCGATAGCTATAATGTTTTCAGATCCGACCGTAACCATTCTTCCCGTTTAACTAAGAGAGGCGGAGGGGTATTACTTGCAATTAGAAAAAATTTTGATGCTGTTAAGTTAAACATTTGTGATATGTACCATAGGGATGAAAACATTACACATATTGATATACTGTTAGTAAAAATTTCTGTTCGATATAGGCATTTTCTTATCTGTTTAGTGTATATTCCACCATCTATTAATACCGGCGATTACGATGCGTTTTTTGATTTTTTAATGTCTGTTCAAGAACTATATGGCTCATCTATAATGATACTGGGAGACTTTAATATTCCAGAATATGTGAATTGGTCTCAACAAAACTTACATCAGTTTGTTAATTCTTCAATGTATAGTAGTTACATTTCTTTATCAAACTTCTTTAATCTTACACAATATAATACAGTATTGAATATGAATGATAGAATTCTTGACCTACTGCTCAGCAATGTAAAATGTCAAGTAATAAAAGCATCTGAAGTAATATTGCATGAAGACACTCACCATCCGGCACTGGAAATATCAACAGTACTTGATAGGGTGTCGAACAATAATAACTTTTCTATATCCCATCTTCGGGAGTACAACTTTAAAAAATTGGTCTAAAGAGTTTAGACAGTACTTCCCTCGCTGTCGGAAACTTGACGACTGCATGCCTATTGTGTTTTTTTTCTCATTACATTTTTGTAGTGGGAATTTAAAAAAAAATTGCGATGACGTCATCAACATTTTTGCAAGGACACGTATATCAGTTGGGATAGATGTAGTGTAATACTAAGAATAAAATTATTATATTCTCAAATTTTCGGGAAAATGAATTGGGTCGTTTTGAATATTGATTTGTAATAATCAATAAAATAACGAAACAATTTACTCACGTATACGTATCAGAGGCAACTGAAAATCGTGTATGTATAAACATTCTTAATTTAAGATGACAGGCGTAACAGCATACGTGAGAGTCAAACAGAGAAACTGTAAACAAAACGACCATCGGTTTTATTGCTTCGACTTCCGCTTATTATATAAAACATTGGGTTTTATTTTAATTCTTGACGGTGAAATTCACAATTGGTTGATTATAAACATGTCTATTTCACATTCGCGGAATCAAGTGAACGCATAAAACAAATGCAGGTCTGTAATGTTAAAGTCGATGTAAATAAGCGTGCTACCCTTATGTTTCAACCGAGTTTTTCCTTTAACAAATTTTGTGTCTACCAAATTGGGTTGGTTGGGGTGTAATACTAATAATAAGTGTTGCCTTTAATTTAATCAATAAAATAAATTGACTTCATTAATTTTTTTGAACCACCTCTTAAGAAAATCTAAAAAATATGAATGGAATGATAAATCACAAGTACAAACTCATCATATTTTTTGCATTTTAGATAGGATTTATTCAGCAAAATTTAAGGGTGACGTCATCAATTTTTTTAGGAGGGATGAACAAATACATTTTGAACAAAAGTTTACCATGCTTATAATAACTTTAAAATATTCCCAAGATTTCAAAGCATTCGGTTTTGTAATTCCTGATTAAATCGATAAAATAAATTCACGCCTTCATTAATTTTTTTGAGTCACCCTGCATATGCAAATCCAAAAATATGAATGGAATGATAAATCACAAGTACAGACTCATCATATTTTGTACATTTTAGATACGATTTATTCGGCAAACTTTTGAGATGACGTCATCAGTTTTTTGTAGAAGATAACCAAATATATTTTGACTAAAAATTTATTATGCTCTTTATAACTTTAAAACATCTGCAAGATTTCAAAGCATTCGCTTTTGTAGTTCCTGATTAAATCAATAAAATAAATTTACGCATTCATTAATTTTTTTGAGTCACCCTGTATATGCAAATCGAAAAAATTTGAATGGAATGATAAATCACAAGAAGAGACTCACCATATTTTGTACATTTTAGATAGGATTTATTCAGCAAAATTTTGTGGTGACGTCATAAATTTTTTAGGGGGGACGACCAAATACGTTTTGATCAAAAATTTACCATGCTTATGATAATTTTAAAATATCTTCAAGATTTCGAAGCATTCGGTTTTGTAGTTCCTGAGTAAATCAGTAAAATAAATTTACGCTTTCATTTATTTTCTTGAATCACCCTGTATATGCAAATCCAAAAAATATGAATGGAGTGATAGATCACAAGTACAGACTGATCATATTTTGTACATTTTAGATATGATTTATTCGGCAAATTTTCGAGCTGACGTCATCAAGTTTTTGGAGGGGATAAGCAAATATATTTTGACTAAACATTTATTATGCTCTTGATAACCTTAAAACATGTGCAAGATGTCAGAGCATTCCGTTTTGTAGTTCCGGATTAAATCAATAAAATAT